ATTTCTAGACTGCTGTCTAGCGTGGCCTTCCTGCCCTCGCCTTGTCCAGTCCCTCTCTTAGTCGTCACACACACACGCACACGCACACACACTCACACTCACACACACACACACACACACACACAAACACACACACACACTCACACACACACTCACTCACACACACACTTTGCCCTTCCTGGCTCAGAATCCACAAATATTCTGCTATGTATATTTTTCAAATATGAGCTTATTTATGTTATTCTTGAGCTTGACCCCAAATGGTTTTCATTCTCTCGCTTTGTTATACAGTTTTCCATAAATTTCGTCGCCAGTGTGTCTTTTGTGTACATTCGCAGCGGTACTTTGTTTTCTGCTTATGGTTTCCAGCATTCAGCAGGTCTGTTGAAATCTGTCTGTGGCTTTGAAGGCAGTGGAGAGCTTAGATGATCAGAGAGAAGAGGCATATCAGGATGGGGGGGAAGGTAACCAGAGAGAGGAGGCACACCAGGAGGGGAAAGGTGAGGGCAAAGGCCTGACGGCATAGCCCTCTGGCCACATTCAGATGGCTCTGTTTGCTAGATGGTCCTTTTACAGAATCGCATAACATTATTGCCCTTCCTGGCTCAGAATCCACAAATATTCTGCTATGTATATTTTTCAAATATGAGCTTATTTATGTTATTCTTGAGCTTGACCCCAAATGGTTTTCATTCTCTCGCTTTGTTATACAGTTTTCCATAAATTTCGTCGCCAGTGTGTCTTTTGTGTACATTCGCAGCGGTACTTTGTTTTCTGCTTATGGTTTCCAGCATTCATCGGGTCTGTTGAAATCTGTCTGTGGCTTTGAAGGCAGTGGAGAGCTTAGATGATCAGAGAGAAGAGGCATATCAGGATTGGGGGAAGGTAACCAGAGAGAGGAGGCACACAAGGAGGGGAAAGGTGAGGGCAAAGGCCTGAAGACATAGCCCTCTGGCCACATTCAGATGGCTCTGTTTGCTAGATGGTCCTTTTACAGAATCGCATAACATTAGAGTGACACTGGGTCTCTGAGGCTCAGGTGGGGGAATGACTTGCCCAAGTCAAATCCTGAGGCAGTGGCCCCACTGGGACTAGAAAACACATCTCTTGATTCATAAAAACAAGTTGGCAAAGCTAATTTATCTGCAGGCTGCTTTTTTCAAGGAAAAACACCATCTACTAGAGTAGAGAGTCCAGTTCAAAAATGTTTATAAAGGAACGTGGAAATGTTGTGGAGCCTTGGATTCCAGGCTTGGACATCGGGCTTTGGCCTTGAGTGAGCAGGGATGTGTTGGAGGTGTTGCTTATCTCTGATCAGAGCAACATGGAAATAGTGTTTCTCCTCCACTCAGGACTGGGAAGCAGGGCCTGGGCAGTGGCTCCCTGGGAGGGCTGTGTGACTCTGTCATTTCACCCTTTGAATCTGGCTCTGCTAGGTCGGAACCGGAGACCATGCTGTGAAAATTAGCGGTTGCACCCAGCCCCGCCCAACACCCCCTTTTCCCTTAGGAGAGCTGGCCTTGCAGGACCGCCCGCACTTCTGGGTTCAAGTCTCCTCGGTGGTGAAATGGGGTTGACAGTTCTGCCCCGTCTGCACGCTCAGGGTGCTGAGAGGGGGCCGGGAATGAGGGAAGTGAGAGAGCTCGCAGTGTGCAGGTGATAGCGCGGAGAATGCAGTGCCCAGTGACATCAGGGACGTGGGAGTAGAGTAACTGGTGGAGGAGCTCCACCCCGTCAGCTGCCCCGGAATTAGCATGGCTCTGGGGTGGTGTTTACATTATGCTTTGGGTCACTGCTGTGCTGGCCTCGGGCCCACTCTATCAGCTGTCATGAGAACTTGTTCTTGGCAGGTCGCTGTCCAGATTCCGGCACACGCGAGTCCCCCGCCCCATAGCCAGTTCCAGGATCCGGAAAGGGAGAACGGACTGCCTTTCCCTCCCTGTGGGCTGGTTCCCAGAAGAATCCTGGTGTTTCTCCCAAAGGCTGGGTCACGTACACTTTGTTTTGTTCTGGAGATGCTTCCAGCTGGAGTGGCTCTCAGGCAGCCGGGCAAGGGCAGCACGGCCTGGGGGCTGTGGGGTGGGGGGAGTGGGCTAGACTGGTGGGCAGGCTCTGAGAGGGGACCCACGCACAGGTGTCCTACTCCCCAGGGCCCTCCAGGAGGCGGGAGGCAGGAAGAAGCTGGCACACCAGACCAAAACACAGTGGACTCTGGGGCTGTGGGGCTGTTTTCATGACTGAGGAGAAATAGATCCTGTTCCTCCTTATCCCAGCCCACCTCCATGCTCCTGCCTGCTCCAGGGGTAGAAAAGATGAGAAGTTAAAAAGCCAATCTGGGTACCGCTGGGACCATGGCTACCGGAACGGCTTCTATGACTGCCCAGAAGTCATTCTTTGAGTCCCTACTGTGTGTCAGGTGCTGTGTGAGACACAGGGCCACGGAGAGGGGAGCTCTAGCCTTTCAGAGAGGCCTGTCCTCTTTGGGGACCACAGTTGGAGGTGAGTGGCTGGGCACAGAGTGACCTGACCATGCTCCGGGGTGCCCCCCGTGGGGAGTTTGTGCACAGTAATGCCTGAGGCTCTTTCCAGCTCTGAAATGTGGGCGCTCGGCTCTGATGTCCGAAGAGCTCAGAAGGGTGTGCATGAAGGTGAGCTCCAGGGCTGAGGGACAGGACTCTTAGAAGGGAAGGGATCCCGGGGGCACCATGAGGAGAACGCCTTTGCTGAGGTGGAAGAAGCATCAGCCTGTAGGTGTGCAGAAGCACAGACCCGTTGGGAGTGACCCGGAGGGGTCTCTGAGAGAGGGGAGCCCAAGGGCACCGAGTCTTTGATTCTGATGAGATTAATGAACAGAATGAGCATGGACAGGGTTGCAGAGAGAAAGGGGAGACAAGGGAGTCTCTCAAATGGCTGGGAGCGAGGCCATGAGGATCCCGATGAGCTTGGTGCCGGTGAGGAAGGAGGCAGACCCGACATGGGCGTCTCCTCAATGAGGAGCCTTGAAGAGAAACAGCGAGGAAGGCAGAGCAAAGGGATGAGTAACAAAGCAAGCTCGAGACTTTTAGCCTGGATTCCTGAGAAAATGATAAAACGTCAGATCCCAGGAGTACATTACACGTGGGCAGCAATGATTTGAAGAAACGCTTGATCGGCAGAACTCTAAGCAGCCTGGCCCCCAAGACTCAGACCAGCCACGTTGTAGGCTCCTCTGAGTCTGCTGGGCCAGTACCACCTAAGGAAGTGACTATGGTTTGGAAGTCATTACCCACCTTTACTGTCCGCCGCAACTTCTTCCCAATTCATCTCTCATACAGACCCTCACGAACCCATTATTTGTGTCTTAAAAATTATGTGCAGCCCGGCTGGCGTGGCTCAGTGGTTGAGCGTCGACATATGAACCAGAAGGTCAGGGTTCAATTTCAGTCAAGGGCACATGCCCAGGTTGTGGGCTCAATCCCCGGTGTGTGTGTCGGGGGGTGGGCATGCAGGAGGCAGCCAATCAATGATTCCCTCTCATCATTGGTGTTTCTATCTCTTTCTCCCTCTCCCTTCCTCTCTGAAATCAATAAAAAAGTATTAAAAAAAATGATGTCCATGTGAAGAATGTTTTCAGACCTGACTGTCTGAATGACCCAGCCAGGCTTGGCAGGGTGAGTTCAGATGCAGGTTAGGATCTTCACATGCAGTCATCTTAGAATCATTCTGATGAAACGCTACGGAAAATGGGGTACAGATTGTCAGAGATGGCTTTGCCACTCAAAGATTCCCAAGTCCCTTTATATCCATGATGCCATGTAATCCACTTATGCATCGCTACCAATGCCCAAGAAGGGAATTTTCATTTAGATTTTCTAGAACCAGGACCTGGAACTCAAGATGCTCCACAATCAGCCCCAAGTGAACTCTGCCACCCTGACGCCCTGCCATCAGGGCCATTCTGCTGGGCAGCGCCCTCCCTTCGTGAGAATTACTCTAAGGAAGATCCATACTCATCAGAGTGAAGAGAACAAATTGGAGTGTCTGGTCCATTGCATCCTTGACCTGCTCAGTTCCTGGAGCTCTGGTTTCCATGAGGGGAGGGGTGGAGGGGGCAGAGGAGAGTGAAAAGGAGTGGGGTGTGCTGGGGGCAGGGGCAGGCAGGCGGCCCACCCCTGTGGCAGCCCATGGAGTACAGAGACTCAGGGACCTCTCTCAGTCTCCTTTCTTCAGCCTTGCCCTGGCCAGAGGTTGCTGGGATGGGCGTTGGGAAGCTGATTGGATTCTTCAGTGTGTCTTTCCTCTCCTCTATAGTCTTAGTTGTGTTCTAAACAGGTTCTGTGTCTCCACTCTGTCACCTGAAAACTGGGATCAGTATGACTTTGCTTTTCTTCAGAGAAAAGGGGAAGATGGCTCCAGAAGCCAGTCCTCAGATGATTGGTGTAACTTGTGCATTTTTAAATTGTTGGTTACGTTTCCTCTGTGCATGTGCCATTGAATTATTAAACAGCTGTCTACTTCGGTTAGGGTCTGAGGACAGTGCCAACTTTTGGAATGTGTCAGTACATCTTGATCTTGACCTCCTGGTTGTTTTGTATGTATTAACACCCTCTGATCTCATAAACTCATTCATTCATCAAATATTTATTGTGCAAGACATTTACTGCTATGCTGTGAGCATACATGTTTTGGTTTCCCGGAGCTGCCATAACCAAGTACCGCAAACTCGGTAGCTTAAAACAACAGAAATGTCTTCTCTCATTGTCCTGGAGGCCAGAGGTATGAAATCAAGGGGCCCACAGAGCCCCACTCCTTCCGAAAGCTCAGGGATCCTTCTCGGCCTCTTCCTAACTTCTGGTGTTACCAGAACCCTTGTAGACACATCCCTCCAATGTCTGCCTCCAACGTCATGTGGCCTTCTCCCCAGGTGTCTGCCTGTGCTTTCTCTTCTTATATGGACCCGTCATTGGGTGTCCTGTTCCAGAAAGCCACCTTCTAATCTTGGTGCTGTTTGTAACCCTTTCAGGACCACCGGGCCCCAAAGGTGATCAGGGCGATGAAGGGAAGGAAGGCGAGCCTGGAATCCCTGGATTACCTGGACTTCGAGGTAATGGGGAAACCCCGGGAGGGACCTGGGCATTCCAGGAAGGGAAGGGGCCGCCAATCCATTCCTGCCCCTGTGCTTTCTCATTGGGGTCGGCCATGTGCCCAATCAACTCAGCCTCAAATGCCCTGCTCTGTTAAGAGACTGACCGGTTATGGGTGTAACAATAGGATGGAGCAAATACTTTTTCACAGAAAGTACCAGGAATTGAAGGAAAAGGGTACATGAGAGGCTCACAGCTCCCTGAAACGACTTTTCACCCCAGGAGACAGGCTCTGTGTGACCAGGGCCTGCAGAAGGAATTGAGGGTGTTCTGTGATCCAGACCAGCCCTCCAGTTATGCTGTGCCCCCCTCAGTGGATCAACAGGTACCTGGTGTCCCCACCTCCTGTTGAACCTGAGCCCATCAATGAACAACTGCCCCTCTCCTACCTCTCTATCCTGCCACACACACTGGTGACAGCCCCGGAGATCCAGTGGCTGGTAGGGAGGGTACTTTTTTGCCTTCTGGAAAGTGTACAATAAGTCCTCACTTAACCTCATGGATGGATTCTGTGATTTTAAGTGAAGCAACAGGTAACGAACCAATTTTACCTTAAGCTAACTGATAGAAATGAGTTCAGTTCCTATGGCATCTCATCAATGTTATAACGAAATGACACTGAATGAAACGACATTACTCAAGGATGTGCCATATGTTCTCCTTACTCTCATTGTCTTGGAGGCTCCTGCTCCGTTACTCTATCAAACTTTGCATCCCAGTCTGTCCATTCCTGAGCCTCTGCTGTGAGCAACATTTTTCTAGCAGAGTGAAAAGTCTTCTGAACGATGTAAGAAAGGAAAGAGCTTCTCAGGGGACAGGTGTCTGTTTATTTATATCAGGAAACGTACCTCCAAACCATCTCCTTCCTAAATCCCTAAGGAGGTTGCGAGCAGGAGTGGAGGCAGAGGCTGGCGGAGGGAGACCCCGTGGCCTGGCTTTCATTCCCTGCCTCTCCCTCTCAGGGGAGCTCCCTAAACTCAAAACAGCGCCCCTTTTCCTGCTTTAGTAAATGATAGGATGGGGATCCCTGGGCGCATCCTGCACTAGACTCACAGTTCTGTGGCATCGGGGCCATTGGACTCTGGGAAAAGTGTGTGAGGAAGGAGAAAAAGAAATGAAGCCCTTCTCTGAGGTCCTGCCACCCTTATGGGCCACCTGCCCTCCTCCAGCCGTTTGACATAAACTCTGGAGGAATCATTACTGGGAGACAGGTTTCTTCACGTTAGAGAAAAAGCCCAAAGAAAACTAACATTCAACGCAGCAAAGAACAATTAATCAGTAACTAAGGCTGCACTGCTTTGCAGAGATAACTGTGGGCTAAGGTCAGGCCCCTGGGGACCCAGGGCTGTCACTGGGTGGAAACGTTTGTTGATTCTGGCTCGCCCTGGTGGCAGGTCAGGAGCCCCAGGGCCTGATCTGGTCGCAGGCCATCCATCATCCCATTCACTGACCTTGCTGTCTTTCTTCCTCCTCCTCAGCCTGCTATCCCTGTCTCTACGCTCCCCGTGTGGGGAGCTATTTCATCTTCCTCCACCCTAAGTACCAGTAAATCCTTTTCATCAGTGTGAGATGGAGCCAACTAACCCTGAGCTTTTATTTCAGAAAGACCAGAGCTCAGATCCAGCCTCTGACACACTGCCGTGTGACCGTGGGCAGGTTACCCAATCTCTCTGGGCCTCACTTCCCTCATTTGTAGCGCAGGTGAAATAATACCCTAGTTTATTGGGAGGGTTAAATGGGATACTTTATACAAAGCATCCAGAACAGTGCCTGTCACATAAAAAATGCTCAAAGAAAAAAATGTCGCCAAATCTAAATCTCCAATGGGGGTGGCACCACCACCACCATCACTCAGGAGAAGTGGATTTTTTGGGGGGAAGTGTCCAGCCTCCCTGGATAAAGGGTGTCAATGGGGCAGGCATATGCTGACCTTTGGGACACTGCCTTTAGGTTACCTGAGAGGAATCAGGAAGCAGAGGCAACGGGAGGGATCATGCTTGAAGTCAACTGCTGAGCCAGACGGTGACCTCGAAGGGCCCCAACTTGTCTCTTGTCTCCCCAGGTCTACCAGGGGAGAGAGGAACCCCAGGACTGCCCGGCCCCAAGGGTGATGATGGGAGGCCGGGAGCCACAGGCGTGATGGGCATGCGCGGGATCAAAGGTAATAATGAATCTCAGAGCACCCTTGCTCACGGCTGGCCCCTGGGCACCAGCATGGGCATCGCGGCGGATGGACTGGCTCTGAATTCTGGCTGTGCCACAGGCCAGCTGAGTGACCCTGAGCAAGTCACTTAATCTCATCATTCAACATCCGTGTCTTCATCCCCACCCTAGACACTCTCGGGATGCCATATTTCGCAGAGCTGTCATGAGGATTCAATGGGATGTATATGTGGGAACACACTTTGTTAGCTCGGAAGTGCTGTCGAAATGCATGGGAGAACCAGCAGTACTACTGGTTGCCGCTACAAGGAAGCCCGGCCAGGAGAGGGGCCCGAAGGGGACCCGGGACTGCCACCTGCTTTCCTGTACTGCCACCTCCTCCCAGTCCGCCAGTCTTTGTATTCCCCAAATATGTCAAACTGGAACCAGTTCTCAGCTTTCCATTGCCAATAGTCTTTCTTCTCATTTTTTCTTCCTACTGATAGGCACCTTGTTCCTTGTTAGGGGAGCCCACTTTATAGTCAGTCCCTGTCTTTCCACGTTTATTTCAAGAGTGTCCAGCCCTGCATCGTGGCAGAAGATGACCGGGCTCGAGCCCCCCACTTGTTAAGATGAAATCTAAGAAAAACGTGCTGTTAGTCATTCCCACCCCATGTCTAGGATGGTCTCCTCATCTTCCATCCCTGGGAACTTTTATTCTACCTTCTGGTTGGTGATTAAACAAGCTGAGGTTTTCCTTCCTGTTATGACCCACATTTTTTTTTAATGGATTTTGAAACAGAGTACCACAACAAAACATCCTTATTGAAAAAAACCTAACGAAACGGAAGTGTGGAGTATAACGTCAAAAGTCAGCCCCCCACCCTTGGTCCCTTAAGCTCTTACTCTGTAGAATAACCACCATAAACAGTTTGGAGCCTATCCTGCCAGACCTTTTCTAAACACATTCATAGTTATATTTACATTTATGGTTGCTTTTGTTTTTTTCAAAACTTGGATCATCCTTGGTGTTCTCCCCTGGAACTTGCTGGCTTGCTTATTTCCACCAGACATCATGCCCTGGGCCTTTAGTCTGCAGAGAGCTTTCTGAAGGTGCTTGGAATAGAATCGCCAGGTCGTTGTAACGCCTGCTCGAGTGGTGTCAGGACCCATTACTTCTGTGTAGAGTGAGATGCAAGCTGGGAAAAGACCACACCCTGGGAAGGGCATCCCACAGTTCCCTGGGAACTCTCCTCCATGTGTTCTGGCCTCCCCCACTAGTAAAGCTGCCTCACACAGAACCCCCGTCTCTCTCTCTCTGTAACTGAAGACCCTCCCCACTTCTCTCTTCCTCTGCTTATTAGAGTGAACTTGGATGTAGACTTCGAAAACCTTGAGTGTTTAATAGGAATGTCTTTGCTTTGTCTTCTTTCTGCTGAATACCATGTACTCCTTTAGTCTGTGCTGGTGTTTGAGGCTTTAATGAGGAAGAAATGAAACTTCTCAGTTGGGTGCCTTCTCCTTCCCCTGGTGACAGAGCAGGTAGTTCCTTCCTGCCATGGCCTGCCCTTCGGTGCTGCTGGCTCCTGCCTGAGGTTCTCCCTGGTTTTGGGTTAATAAGTCTCCTGCAGCCTGGCCAGTGTGGCTCAGTGGTTTAGCGTCAAAGGTCACCTATGCACCAGAAGGTCATGGGTTTGATTCCTGGTCAGGGCGTACTCCTTTAGTCTGTGCTTTAATGAGGAAGAAATGAAACTTCTCAGCTGGGCGCCTCCTCCTTCCCCAGGTGACAGAGCAGGTAGCTCCTTCCTGCCATGGCCTGCCCTTCAGGGCTGCTGGCTCCTGCCTGAGGTTCTCCCTGGTCTTGGGTTAGTAAGTCTCCTGCAGCCTGGCCAGCGTGGCTCAGTGGTTGAGCGTCAAAGGTCACCTATGCACCAGAAGGTCACGGGTTTGATTCCTGGTCAGGGCATGTGCCCAGATTGTGGGCTCAATCCCCAGTGGGGAGTGTATAGAAAGCAGCCGCTCAATGATTCTCTCTCATCATTGATGTTTCTATCTCTCTCTTCCTCTCCCTTCCTCTCTGAAATCAATTAAAAAACTATTTTTAAAAATGTCTCCTGCAGATAATACTTTATTTACTACTAGTGGCCCGGTGCATGAAATTTGTGCACATTAAAAGGGAATGAATTAGAGGAAATATTTTAATTTCCTATTTGCCCTTTCTCTTTAATAGAAGTGTCAGAAATGAAAGAAAATTAGGCCGAAACCAGTTTGGCTCAGTGGATAGAGCGTCAGCCTGCGGACTGAAAGGTCCCAGGTTCGATTCCGGTCAAGGGCATATACCTGGGTTGTGGGCACATCCCCAGTAGGAGATGTGCAGGAGGCAGCTGGTTGATGTTTCTCTCTCATTGATGTTTCTAGAAGTTACATATTCAAAAACTTAAGGAAACCTTTACTACATTGACATATTTAGCAATATCATCATCACTAATAAAAGCAGACTTAGAACTGGACGCCATTTTGAAGCTTTGATAGCGCTCCCGGCACTTTTGGCGAAAGATAGGAGGAGCGCGATCACGCTCCCCAGCACTCTAGGGGTTAATAGGAGTGTCAGAGATGAAAGAAAATTAGTAAAATGTATATGAAAATCTCCCTCCTGTCAGAGTCTGGGGTGTGCCGAGGGACCCAGAGTCAAGTCCCTGCCCACCCACACGTGCCTTGAAATCGCACGAGACCCAGACACAGCCGTCCCCACCCCCATCAAGCCCCGCCGGGTGGGGGGTGGAGCCTCAGGTCCCCTGTCCCCCACCAGGTGGGGGGCGCAGCCTCAGGTCCCCCGTCAAGGTCAAGCCCTGCTGGGCGGGGGGGCGTGGCCTGAGGTCCCCAGGCCTGGCTAGGCACCACACAGCCTCAGGTCCCTGCTGATTGGTCATTATGGTGTCACGGCATGACAACCATTTGCATATTAGCCTTTTATTATGCTGATTAGGATTTACTTCCGTTTCTAATGCCAGTTTTCTCCTCTGTTTCAGGTGACCGAGGCCCAAAAGGAGAGAAAGGAGATAAAGGAGACAGAGCAGGGGATGCCAGTAAGGAAACTTTGTTGGGGTCACTGGATTCTATGTCAGCATGAGAATAGCTGTCACCCAGAAAGCCACACAAGTTTGGGGGTTCAGGGGCTGGATCCATGGTCCAGGGCTTTGATGTTAAAGGAGCCCCCTACCTGTGTCAGGTGTACTCTGGGGACACAGACCACATTTCCAGGTGTGGTACAAGCCCCGTGGTTGTGTAGAAGGACCTGGAGGCAGACTTCCTGGGCTCCCTCCTGGCTGCCTCACGAGATGGCTATGTAATCTCTGGGCCTCCGTTTTCTCATCTGTGGAATGAGGATAAAAGAGTCCATACCTCACAGGATCACTGTGAGCATTAAATGAGTTAATCACATAAAGTGCTTGTGCCTGGTCATGAGGTTAGGAATCAGCAAGTGTTCATTATTATTCTATGTAATACACCGGTTCAGACATTCTTCCTAAAATCACGGGAGATGCTAAAATTCAGTTACTGGCCTCATTAAAAAAATGCATGGCTTCCCTGAGTACTTGCGTGGGGAAAGGCCTGGAGGCAAAGCAGGGTCCCTTTGTTTTCCTCCTTTGCCACCAACTGAGCAGAGATGCGAGGGATCTCAGTTACTGGCAGGCCCCCAAGTCTCGGTAAGGGCGTCTTTCTGACAAGGGTACTTCCTACAGTGTTTATAAGGCAAGCCAACTTATCTAGTTAGCACTCCTTTCTAGGGTTTATTCTCCCCGCTACATGTAGAACCTTGGAGAGATTGCCAGAGGAGAATGAGTCTCCCAGCCAAGTCTCGATGAATAGTGTCTCCTAACCAAGTTGCAAAAGAATGCCAGCATCTAGAATTGCTGGGCTCTGAAATGCTGTGACCCTGTGTGAGGCATACACGGATTATCCTCTTCCAGGGCATCTGTACCGCAGTCTTGGCTTTGCGGGGAGACGGCTGGGAAAGAGCGCCTGCCTCCACCTTCTGCCCTAGACACTCAGGGACAGGCACCTCTTCAGATTCACACTTTGGACCCAGATGGATGGGTTTCCCTAAGGCCAGTCTTTGGTTTCAGAAGGTCCTTAAAATATACTTTCCTCCCAGTCATGCATGACCAGAAGTCCTGGCTCCTTTTCCAAGGTGTCTCCTCCTTCCACGGTCCTTCCCGGTCATGCATGACCAGAAGACCTGGCTCCTTAAGAGTACCCTTTTCCAAGGTGTCTCCTCCTTCCACGGTCCTTCCCTTTCCCGGGGCAGTGATTCAGGATCAAACAGAGAAAACATTTGTGACAGTATTTTGTCACTAAAGTGATGGACATACCTGAGGACAAGGTGTGCCTACGCATAACCTTGGACTTCACACATCCCCCTCACCTTAGATGCTGTGATCCACAGAGCAATATATGTGTCTCAGAGTCTTTCTAGCGTTATCTGGAGTCCCTTTCTAGAGCAGCCAAAGGCTGAGCTAGCGGTGTCCTGGCTAGATGAGGAGATCTGTTGGACCCTGCAGGAGCCAAAAGGCAGGTTTTGATGGCCAAGGAAGGGAGTCTGGCTATGATCTAGGACATCTGCGGCATATCAGAGTCACACTTATGAACTGGGCTGGGCACCATACTTTGTCTTTGGGTTGCTGCCTTCTCCTGCTCTCTTTGTTGACTGCGCTCTGATGGATTGCTGCCAAGGGAGCTGAGAAGGACCATGGCATTTAGCTGTGTGAAATAAACAACTCCTGATGGGGTGGCAGGAAGGGAGGAACTGTGGAAAGATGACCTTTAGAGGGAAATCAGAAATGCTGCCCACATACCAGAGGGGTGCTTGTCAGGAACTCTTTGGCAACCGTTCTTCAGCCAGCTCAAGAGGAGAGAAGAGGTCTGTGCTCGCCGAGCCCAGGGAGAGGAGGTGGTCATCAGTCACCACTAATCGCAAGGCCGCTTTTGTCACTGTTTAACTCACCTCTGCGGGCCCAGCTGGCTGGGCTCTGTGCTGGGATTGGGCTCGGAAGCTGGGGCCACAGTCTGGGAGGTGGGAGCTGAGCCACAGTGGTGTGGGGCTCCCCGGGGCGTGGGTGGGGAGCTTGGGAGAAGGACGATTAATCCACTTGGCCCTGGAGCCTATTGACTGCACCGAAAGAGGCTGATGTCAGCTCTGGACAGCCCCTCCTCAGGGACTGCTGGCGTTCTTTCCTGTCCTGAGGCGGCTACACCCTCCCTGGAGCCCAGAGGTCAGACAACAGCCCTTGCACAGAGTCTACGCCTCTCCTTCTGGCCCCCTGATGAGACCCGGAAGCATCACCATTGGTGATGGGCTTGGGAGACGAGGTGGCTCAGCAGAGACAGCTCCATCATGGGATGCTTTACTCAGCATGCAGGGGATGTAGGAGACATACAGGAACTGTAGAACCACAAAACTGAAGGCCATTCATCCATCTCCCCGCTTTCAGAGGCCCGAGTGGGGAGCTGACTGACTCTCCCAGGGCAAGTGCAGAGGCAGAACCAAACCCCTGGGCCTCCGACTTCTCTGATTCTGCAACGAGAGCTTAGGCCTGGTCTTGAAGAGTAGGGTTGGGCTCCTTAAAACCCCCAGTGACTCCCTCACCTGACAGACGGATTTCAGGGTCTTTTAGGCTGAAGGGGGCCATTGCAGCAATGTGGAGCTGAGATCCATGCCTTCCCACGGCCTCCACCCCCTGGCCTGCCTCTGACCACATAAAACCCATGCTGTGTTGAGACTCCTGGTTGTGTTTCCAAGGAACTCCAATCCCAGAGGCATAAACTATATCCCTGGGAGTGAGGCTCTGAGGAGGAAGCCAAGGATCATCTTTCAGAAAAGTGCAGAAATTCTGACCCATGCTGATTGCCCGCTACCGGGGGGGCATGGGGGGGGGGGTTGTTAGTCATTCCCTGGGCCAGGGCAGCCCTAATGCGCGGGAGAATGGATTCTCAGCATCGGAGCTCTACCCTCCTTCATAAAAGAGTGGGAGGAGGGACCCTCAGTGGAGGAGGGACCCTTCCCTGGGACCCCAGCTTGGGCTGAGGCCATGGAACCTTTTCCAAACACCTCTGACCTTTAGCAGCACAAACCTAAAGTTCCAGCAGGTGGGGGTGTTCCTATGTGAAAGGAACTGATGAGAAAAATAGATGGACCCCCCTCAGGTCAAAATCGGAAATTGGGGGTTTCCTTTGAAGAGGGCCTTATAGAGAAGACTTCTTGGTACCCATGTTTTAAGTCAATATTACAATATATTTGTACCAGATCTTGCCATTGTTTACCCGTGTTTTGATCTGGAGTCATAGGATTTTAGAGTTGGGTGGGGTTTCAGATCAACTCCTCTCCTACGCCCAAGCGCACCCCACCCGTTCACTAAACAGAGAGCAAGAACGGAGAGCTGGAGAGACGGGCCACAGTGCCCAGGCTAGGTCATGGCCAAATTGGGCCTAGAATCCAGACCTCCTGATTTCTGCTCGATGAGAGGTAAAGTTGTTGTTTTTATTTCAGGCTATGGTGATATCAGTCATTCTGTTAGATGTTTGGCTTTGAGGAGCTTGGCCAGAAAAGATATATACATCTCAAGACAGAAAGACATTTGTTTTACCTTCGTATATGGTCCATTGGCAAGAAAAATAAATAATATTTTTGCAGCTAGGGGGTGGGGAAAGGATTGGGTTTTGTTTAAGCCCCACAGCATGAATTTAAAGAGGGAGATAAGTTCAGATTGTTTAAAATATTTTCCTCAATTTGTTTCCACGTGGAAAATATATGCAGGATGACCCAGGGTTAATTCTAAGCCAGCGCATGTTGATACTTATCAGTGGCATCTCAGAAAACTTGAAAAATATCCAACATCTTATGTGTGTTTTTAATATTTAGGGATGTAAGTTTGAGGGGGGGGGCAGTGGACACCCCAGTGTGCAGTATGAGCTCAAAATAAATTATCAGGATGTTGGCTTCTAGACAGTTTTCCTCCCTAGCTGCTGAGATGTTTCAATCTGGTTTAGAAAAAGGGATGCAAAGAGAGTCCTTCTGAGTCTGTTAATTCTCTTCCTCCCCTCCCTGCACCTACAGCTGGCTGCAAGCAGTGCCCCCGGGAATCTGTTAAGGATAATGTAGCACTGGAAGTTAGCATTTTTTTTCCGGCAAGGAGAGACAGAGCTACCAGACCTTTTATATACAATCCTATTTCTTTATTTACTTAGTGCATCGACATCCTCTTTTCTTCATACAGTTTGACTACCCCACTGACAACATGATTTAAAAGTAAGCCACACTCCTAAGGGAAAGGAACCACTCGGATAAAACTACCAACAAACTTGTACCTGGCACTATGGGGAGGAAAGCGTCCGTGTACATTATGTACTGAATTCTCACAGTCATGTTCAAGGGTGGGGAGGTGAGGAGGAGGCTGAGGAAGGAGGAGGAGGAGCCTGCCCAATGTCACCAGAGTTTATAAGGTGTGGAGTGGACACAGATGGGGTCTGCCTGGCCCGGGTTCTTCTGCTACCATCTTGAGTTACCTTTTATTCTCCTGGCCTTTGACAGCACGGGATCCTTATGGGCCATTCTGTCTGTCCTTAGCGGTTTAGTATGAAGGTGCTAATTCCCTCCT